ACGAGATACGTACCTGGTACATGAAGAGAGGCTGGCGATGGTGTTGGCAGTCATGTACATTGGTCTTCGAGAGTCGAAGTGATCCTGTTGCGTGAGCCGGCTGTAGGTAGGCTAGTCAGGTAGCGCCAGACAGGAGAGAGCGACTCTGGATACTGTGTTGGTGTGGCCTACGGGCTTGGACATTGGCTCATTACTTCATTGAATTGCTCTATATGGATCGTTTTCTCGGTGCATTTGTACTCTCTGATTGGGACACGGCTACTTGCTCAGCTGTGTGATTTTGCAACTTGGTTTTATGTACATTGCTCACACTCATATTCCTTGCACCAGCCAAAAAGAAGAAAAAAATACACAGCGCTGGTTCATCTTTTTTTTGACGTGCATTACAAATCTGCCTCGGGGAAAAGATGCTCGGATGTAGTGGTGCACAGTGCTGGTTTTGAAGTGGTATTATTAAGTTATTAACTGATATTCATCCCGAGAAGATTGCAGGGAATCCTCTAGATGAACGCCAAAAGTTGTATCCTATCGTTTGGACAAAACCTTCTGAATATCTTTGTCTTACAGCAGCGCCCCCCCCCGCACCGCCCCTGCCCCTTATGTTTTGTTTTGTGTTTTTTTTTTGTGTGTGTGTTTTAAAAGTGATTTGGTCTTCACTTAGCAAATGAAGCCACACTGGATCCCTTTTGGTATCTTATTTTTCTTTTTTCTCTCTTGGTTTCTTCAAATTCCTCTTTATTTACCTGTGTTTTTACAGAATGCTAGATCTTATGTGACAAAATCAAAATCAAAATCCCTGGTTGGCATCTGCCCTAATGCACCACATGGTGCACACACCCGATTGTCAGAGTATTTTCAAGAAGAAGCACTAGAAGCCATCATACAGGCATCATACAGCAAAATAAATCGGAGGTGGAGGAGCATTATTTTATGAATTCATGTGTTAACCACTGGATTGGTTGGTGGCTTTCTGATTCATCGGCATTGGATGTGGCAAACAGATGGAATATTTGGAGCCATGATGCAGGTTGGTGTTGATGCACAAAATGTGCCCACGTGCTCTTTGTTTTTTCCATTATCTTCTCCTATGCTTCCTTATCTGCCTCCTCCTTCCTCGCTGCAAAACTTTCTGTCTCCCTCGCCTTCCCTCCCCCTGGACCCTTGCAGAAGAAGAGGATTTTTAATTTTTGCGATTGTGCAGAACTGTTCATTTTTTAAAATGTGTGCTGAACTGCTGTGCTGAACTATGGCATATTGGACATTTTCCAAGCAGGTTGGATGGCCTTGCCCTGAAGATCAGTTAAAACAATGCATTATGCATCCAGATAAGGGCATGCATCCTTCCCCCTTAGCATGCATCAGCAGTGGGGGGCGAGGTTGCAGTCTAGTGCACACCAATAGGCAACACAAAGTTGGGACCATGCCCTTCGATTTCCAGCATCTGTGGCCAAGATCGATTTCTGCACTATTTTACGATGGAATGTTTGACACATGCCAGCAAACGTGGACTTGCTTTACACAGCAGATAACTTCTGCTCTTGACGATTGGTGTTTATTTGCACAATTTTTTGAAATGCCCATTGTCCGATAGCAGGCACTGCATGACAACAGATGTCCTTCATGTGAAAACAAAAAACAAAAAAGGAAAACGAAAGATAGCAAGCACCGGCTGTGTCATGACTAATGACAAATAGCTTGAATCCAAAAGCAAAGCCCCAGCAGCCCAGTATGGTCGCACTCATTCTGTTCAGGCATGGGGCATGTCTGGCATAGACGATGGAGTGTGTGCTGGCGGTGTGTGTGGCGTGTTGTTGGTGGTGCGATGATTATTTTTCATGCTGGTGCTTCTTCTTCTCTTAAACACTATACGGAGCCAAGATCACCCTCGGAATTCTTTTCTCTCGGATTTTTTTCAACTATTTTGCGATTGTTTTGCTGCGGCGTACCTGTTGCAAAATGGGCCTAACGGCCCTACTCCAGCGGCAAGATGGAACTGTGGTACTACCCGTTTCCATTGAAGGATTTTGGACTTGTAGAAATTGGAACGAGATAGCCTAGATGAAATAGTATATAAAACTAGAAAGGACAGTAGTGCTGATCTATAATCTGAGTGGCGTATTAGAAGAAGGATTGAGAAACCTTGGCGAGGTAAGCTCCGGAGGTGTAGTGAGGAAGGTGATAGCGCCATGAGTTGAGTAATGCCATTATTTTCTCATGGTGTAGAGCCTCAGATTCAACATTGCAATGGACTTGTAGAAATTGGAAGGAAGCATAGAAGAAATAATATAAAACATGGAAGAAATAATGTAAAACATAGAAGAAATAATATAAAACTAGAAAGGACGGTAGCACTGATCCTTAATCTGAGTGGTGTATGAGTAGGACTGAGATGAAACAGTTTTCACCTTTGGCAGTAGCCGATGCAGATCCCAGGGGTCGATCCCTTGACCTCAGCTTACCTGTGTACAGTATCTGTACAGTTCCCTGGAGTTGAACCCGTGACCTGCACGATCGCCAGTGGTAAGTAGGTCACCGTAGGTTGTAGGCTGTAGGAAGATTCGAACTGTAGACCTGTAGGGTAGGAGTCCAAGTAGAGTCCAGAAGCCCAGCTTTAGTCCTTC